TACATATGCCTGCGCTGCCTGTTGTGTGAGTGAGAGGGAGCGCGTTGAAGCTTTTGCAATTGTACATGGCCGTTTCGACTTGGCTGTGTGTGTGAGTGGGCTTTGTCGCTGACACACATTCAAGTTGCTGTTCACTTTTTTTTCTGTCGTCGTTTTCTTTTCCACATAAATGTGGTGCCTGTAGCATTGCAGCTTTGTGGCGCGGCGCACTTTGGCTAAAATTTTCCGCCTCTCGATGTTTTTCCATCGAAACACAATGATTTTTCAGGCACGTAACCATGTAAAACCACTAACTTTGTGCCAAGATAAATTACAAAAGATAAGGTTTTCTTGGGGGGGTTGGATGGATATTGTAAAATAAAAAAATTCAAAATCTAATTAGAAATCAGTATGATGTGTTGACTAAATTGATTAGTTTTTGTTGCAAGGCAGTTTTGTATGTATTTATGTACTGTGAAAAAGTGTGTCATCACTTTGCACAACTAGATAACTTGTTATACACACACACACACATACTCATTTATAGATACTTTTATATGCATTTACAAACAGCCGCTGCACTTCCTCTTGTTCTTGTTCGCCTTCTTTTTCCAAGCGCACACAACTACAACTACAGCGACAGCATTTTTTTGTATGCTTCGACGAGTGCCAACTAGAAACGGAAAACTGGGTTATTGGCGCAAATGCGCGCGCGAATCTTCATCTCCCTCTCTTCTCCCCCCCACACTTCATTGATCACATTCTCCCTTTCTTGCTGCAGTTCCACTTGGCACGCGAAGCTGCAGCTGCAGCAGCCAAGTTGTCTGTTAGTAGGGTGAAGCCTTAGCATTCTTACAAGTTCCTCATTTTCTTTGCCTAACCTTATATAAATTCACCTTGGCTGCCTGTTTTTGTTTCTTTTATTTGTTGCCTAGCAACGCTGTGTGTGTGGGCAGAGGGAAGATGGGGCGGAAATTGCATCAAATGACTAATTTTGTGTTTGCTTTCTGCTGATGACGACATCAAAAGAAAACCAAACCAGTTCGAAAGCGAAACAAATTTTTGGCGATGACGCCACAACTGCTCTGGCTGCTTCTTTGTTGCTGTTCCTCTTATTGCGTTTTATGTTTTATGCTTGGGAATGAATAGCCACAAGAACATGATCGTAAGGCAAAAGAAAGCTTAAAAGAGAGATAGAGAGACAGCACAAAACCAAAACTGACCAGAGCTTCCTACACTACACTCCTCTTTTCTTTGCTTTGATGTCTTTCTCTGCGACTGTGACTGTGCCTGTCTCTGTCTCGCACTCTCCCTCTCTCTTTCGGGTGGAACGTGTATTGCATGTGATTCCATTTAATTTTCGTCTTTTGCTCTTTTCTGTTTACGTTTACCACAAAACAGAAACAGAAAATTTATTCTTCTCTTCTTTTTTGGGTTAAAAGTTAATGCGCTCCAGGCACGAATCTGTAGGTACTTCCCCATCTGTGTGGTGTGGCTCTCAACCAGACAATCTTTCAATTACAATCTACACGCACAAATGGACTGAAAACTTTCCCATCGCTACAATATGCTTTTGAAATCATAAAAGAAATGGTATGGTGAGGAGGGGAAAGAATATCTTCCAGTTAAGAACTTGAGTCAAATCCTCTTATGTACTCTATAGTTCCACTTCACTCTAATTGTCTAATTTTTTTTTCCATTCCAATCCCAAATATATTTTATTTGATGCCTTGATATCAAATCGCCTTGCAGGTTTAGCTTTTGAACTTTAAATTCCAATACATACACCTGAGAACAACTGGAAAACCTTGAATAACCCACTCAGATGGCTAATTAGAGAGCCTCTGAATGAAGATCGATGGGAATAGATCGATTCTCAGTGATAGAGACAAGCTTTTGTTGCTTAATTGTATACAATTACTAAGCTTTCGCATGGCCATTAATATTTAATTGGCCCGATTAAAGGCAACATCTGGCATCTCGCCTCAAAGGGGGACTTTACACATTCATAGAGCTGTCAGCAGGAAGCCATCCGCCATAGTATTTTCGTTACTTACTTATTCCAGAATTTCCAGAAAAGGAGCTGTCGATGGCTGATTATGTTGATAAGAAATATCGCGCGCTCGTTCTCTCTCTAAGTAACACTGAGACATATGGAGAGTATTAGATTGGGTGCAGAAACTAACGTAACGCGTCTATTGCCAGCGAACAGCGGATAAAGATTGGCGAATGACTCGGCTTCGGTTTTTGTTTTTGTCTCTGCTGCTCTGCTTCTGCTCTGGCGAAAATTGTTTCTATGTACACGCAGAAACATACAGACACACAGTCACGGCCCTTGCTCATAAAACTGTATATACAACTTTGTGTTTAAGCTTTTTCATATACATATGTATGTACATAGTATATGCATATGCATAGGTGCCGTAGTGGGAGGGGTGGGTGCTTGTGTAGGTCAAACAGCTTCGACGTCAGCAATGCCGTAAGCATTTTTCTGCGCAGCAGTCCGTCGCGTCCCCATAAAGTCTGCAGCATCGTACAAGAGATGGGATGTGATGGTATGGGATGGGATGGGAGAGGGATACAAAGGGAGAGAGAGAGATCCTCTGATGTCGCTTCAAACTGCGTTTCAACTCCTGGACAGAGAGATGGGGGGGGGGGAGGGCGAAGTGCGCAGCGTTGATAAGAACGAGAAAGAGAAGAAGCAGCACTCACTTCCAGTTCAGAGAATTTCGCTCCTACTTCCGCCATGGAATTGATTGGAATGCCTGGACTGTCTGCCGCTGTCTTTATCAGCCGTTCACTGGAACCGAGCTGGGTTTTTATCAAACGAAATGCCGATGCATGCCCCTTCCTCTGTTCTGTACAAGCAACCCTCGTTCTATGGGCTTTTTCCCGCCTCAAACCATGCCTGGAAGTCGTTATACTGCGCATGTTTTTGCTGTTGCTTTTGTGTCACCTTTTCGTTCTGCAGACGAGGGGGAAAGTTTCATTGTTCCTTCTTTCATTTTCTTACCTGGGAGGTGAAGGAATTTTTCATTAGAATGATAACTTTTGCTTCGGTTGGGTGTTGGGTGTTATTGCAACGATTGCATTTTATTTGTCTCGAGAATGCCATTGTCAATGGAAATCTGAACCGGTTAGCATGCCTCTTGTCTGGAACTCGAAGGATCAAATAGTTTGTTACTTGATCGTTCCGCTGAGAGTATTGGAATAGGGATAAGGGCTAATCAGAGCTATTTAAAGCGGAGACCCATGATTGTACTGATTTTGAAGATATTTAAGGGAGACTTTTCGTTATACAGATTTAGATTAACATAGCTTTACATATAGTGGTCAAGGTCGGATCGTACGTACATATGTACATATGATCGATTTCCGCCTTTGGAATCAGTCCATTACGAGTGTAATCAGTTCATTCATATTGGTTTTTGCTTATCATGTTTTAATCTCATTAATTGGTATATTTTCCCTGAGACGCCACCTCACATCCACTTCAACTGCCGCAGGAAAACAATTTGCCCTTAATTGAAACCCAAATACCTGATGATAATGTTTGATGCTTAATGCTTAAGTTACGGATTTGGATTTAAGTTCGGTTGGGGTTTTTGGTTGAGTTTTTCGCATCAGTGAGCCCCTCATTGGTTTTGTTTGGGAAATGTGCTCGGGGTCAGGTCATGTCCAGGTAGGGGATTGCGAAAACTGTAAACCGATACGGTGTGGAGGGATGTGGAACAAGGAGGTCGTTTGCTGGGCATTTCCCCACCCCCTTATGCCATATCCATATCCGCGCCATGACATGGAATTTCCATTTGCCTGAGAGATTCTCCTGCCCTGCTCTACTCCTCTTCCCCTCCTCTCCTACTAAGTGTTGGGTTGCGACTATGTGTGTGTGTGTGTGTGTGTGTGCGCTAATGAAGGCATTTTGAGCTAAACAAGTTGCAGTCCGTCCCGAATAAAACTTCCCCTCCGGAAAGTCGTAGCCCGAAAAAAAAGACACGAGAGAAAGAAAAATTGAAATGAAACAGCGACAAGTAAACAAAAAGAGAACGAGAAAGAAAGAGGGAGCGGAGAAAGGAAAACATTTACAAAAGAGAGTCCATTGAACCCGCCTAGCGTTGGTGGCTACTTACGAGCCACGACGACGGCAGCATAGCGATGATGATGATGATGATGACGACGCATCCCATGGATGTTGATGACGTCTTGAGGTTAAAATTTCGATCAGGGTGTAAATGAACAATGGGAGAGGCAAGCCAAGAGAAACCAAAAAGAGAGAAATGTCAACTACATATGTATCTACCCCCTTCCACAGGCAGCAAAGAACAAACATATTAGTGGTGCTGCCTGTCCTGCTCATACATACATACAAACATATCTACATACAACCGTACGTAAAATAATAATTAAAAGTCAATGAAGTCTGCCATTTACCCACTGGAAGAAACATTCGATCAGTGACAGTCGAAGGAGTTAGTGGTTGGGTACAAATTCATCAATGTAGAATATTCTATCTTAGTTTCCAACCACAACAATTCAAGCAATGTGAGGTAAGAGTATCGGAATGTAGGGTACAAAGCGATCGACGCTGTCTGGTTGTTTGATGCCTATGCCCGTCTGCCCCGCTTAGTTAGTGCGAATATTTATCAATAAACAACAAGTCTATGTATGTATGTACAAATATGTGTACATATATGGAATGCAACGGCAACAACATATTGTGCAAACATTTACATAAATACATTCATACACGCATACATACATACATATGTACGTACTATGCACATACATACAAGCAAAGCAGCGCAGCTGCCGAGCGACTACGAATGAAGATGAAGAAAAACGCGAAAATAACGAAACGATGAAACTGACTGTACATACAGTACATAAACACACACGACCACACAAAATACGTGTGTCAGCGACGAACGAGAATGGGCGTGTGTGTGTGTGTGTGTGTGTGTGTGAGTGTTTGCTCTATGGCCCCGGTCCAAGGTGGAGAGGTAGAGGTACGGTACAGACGCGCCTGTTGCAAAATTCATTCTTGCGCTCTCATTCGTGACGAAAGGATGTACGTCCGGCTGTAGCCCGTATGAATCTACATCCGTACATTCCTTGCGCAGGGCAAAGGCAAACGGTCACAGTCCCCACACCCACAGCAACACCAACGCAGTTGGAAATGGCCAAGGAGCAAGAATACGAGGAGCTGCGCGAGCTGCTGCAGTCATGGGGTGTTGCCGAGGATCTTCTCTCCCACTTGCAAGGTGACAAACTAAGAGAATTTGAGCGCTTACTGCGAGAGAGGTGGAGACTTTAATTGTAACGGCATTTTGCCGCCTCTCTCTCTCTCTCCCATTCACAGATGAAGCCATCAACGTGGACGAGCTGCAGATGATCAAGCGACACCACCTGGCCGAGCTTCTGAGCAACTTTCGTTTCGGCACCCGCATACGCTTCGAGCACCATCTGGAACGCTGGCGACGCTGGCTAAACGTGCCTCTACAGGGCGTTCAGGGACAGAGTCAGACGCACTGCCAGGGTTGTCGGTGCGCTGATTCAACGGCTCCGTCCATTATCTGCCATCCCCAGATGGGTGGGCAGTCGGACAGCGCCGGGGACAGTGGCAAATCCGATGATCTGGCCAAGACACTGCCGCCTGAGCCACTCGTCTCACTGACCGATCCCAGCGAGACAGTACAAGCCGCCTTCCACATACCCTTGCAGCCGCAGTTGGAGCCCAGCGAGATCCTGAGTTCGACGCTGGTCACTAGCGTGAAGGAGGAGGACAGTGGCGACCAGGTGCCAGGTGAGGATCGGGTGGTTACAGTGCTGGGCATCCTGCAGGCCGGCGGGATGAAAAGCCAGTCGCTGCTCGAGCGCCTGGGCCAGCAGGAGGCACTGGATGCAGTGCAGCGACTGCTGCTCATCCAGCTGATCTGCAGCTACTATGAAGACAATCAGCTGCACCTGACGTTGCAACGCAGCCACCTTCTGGAGCGCGAGATTCTGCAACTCTTTCCCAAGGAGCAGCTGCACTATTACCGCACCGAACGGCGTGGCAAGATCTATGTGCGGTTCACCAACATGAAGCGGAACAAGAGAGTCAACTCTTCGCGCCAGGAACTGAAGCGAAGGCGCGAGGATCTGCTTGTCAAGCCGGCGACCCATGTCTACGCCACTGATCTCGGGCCCAAAGGGGAGACTTTTCCGGCCGACAACGTCTTCAGTCCCGAGAGATCCGATTGACAGCTCCGCCCCCATATCCCGCTCTAAGTTGATTATTTCTAAGCCTAAATCTATCTCGTGTGCGACACAGTGAGGGCTCTCTTGAGGGGACACGACACTGGGGGGTGCCAAGTGATTGGATGTGTATATAGATTGGGACCAACATTTTCGGAGGTGTCCGTGTCCGCCCAAAAGAGCTTTCCTTGTACATATGTAATTATTTCTGTGTATATGTATGCTTGTTTAGTATGCTCTTATCTGTGTAGGGTATTTGCGGGTCGACCCGATCCCGCTGACTGACGAAAATAAATCAAAACTGATTTTGGAAATTCGCGAGTAGCACTCTACCTTTGAATTTTGGGTACGGTGCGTCGGTGGTGAACCTTAGGGAATAGTTTCACCTCTACCTCCGCGCGGCCACGCTGATGAGCGAGTGAAAAAGTGATTACATCAGCAAGTAAAAATAGCCAACCGGCCGTGTTAACAATCGTCGAGCAATTTGCTGACTAGCTGTAAAACGCGGCCAGGCCACAAGTACACTATTTTCCTGGTTCTAGTTTTCGTCAATTGAATTCACTCACGATGATGATGATGCGGCCTCTGGCTGGCTGACTGGGAGGGGAAGGGAGTGTTTAGGGGCGTTTCACTTGAAACTAATTAATTAAGTTGCTCGCTTTTATTCGCTCTGCTTTTTTTTTGTGGTTCTTGTTTGCTCGTTTCATGTTCAGTGCTAATTGACTTTATCAGTGTCGAGTCGAGTCGCGACACAGAGCAAACGAAACTATCTCAAAAGCCCCCACATCACCCGACCAGACCAGATATCAGGCTCGGCTGTGTTATCAGGCGGGGGGGGGGCTCAATGGTAATTACCTTTCGGTGGTGCCATTCATTTTCACATTTTCTGCACTGTTCCTTCCATGCTGCATTCCAATAGAATATTACTATGTTATGTGTTTCCCATCCATTTGTTCTGTGCATGTACATATGCTATGTACGTATGTATGTATCTATTGTGTGTACCTGCGTTTGTATGTCCGTGTGTAGCTAGTAAATAGGTCGCTGGCAACAGGCGACAAAGCTGCAGAGCCACACAAGCTACAAACTATTTTATTTGTTGCTTCCCCCAGCGACAGCTACACAAAATGTCTGCCTGTGTTCGTGTTCAAGTTTCGATAAGCTGTAAAAGCTCTCGCTGCTTATGTACTTGTTTCTTCTGTAAAAGCCAAACATATGGCTGTACATATGTATGTGTGTATGTACATAGTATATGGCATTTTAATTGTTCGTTTGCCCAATGTACACATTTCGAATTAATAACGCTGATCAAAGTTGGTTGTTCCACAGCTGTTAAAATTGTTCAGTTGTAGTAGTACAAGAATGTATGCACATATGTTTGTATGTGTGCCCTATCTATCTCAGTTGTACATACATATGCTGCTGGAAAAGATAAGCATGAAATATCCAAAAAGTTTAAATTTTCGAAATTCTTATACACTTTATATGTACATACATATGTATGTATATATTTACATACTATTGCTATTACCACAGAGGTACATACATACATATGTACGACACGTTCATTTATCTTATCTAGGTGAGTGTGTGTGTGTGTGGTTGGTTTTTCTGGCTTTGCTTATGCCTTTGCTTCTCTCGTCATCCTCTTTTTTTATTTCCAATGCTTTTGCTATGGAATTGAAATGGCTGGACAAGCAGGCCACACACACACACACACACTTGTACATATGTTTCTTTTGCTGCTTTTGCTTTTTGTGGGGAAAGTAGGTCAATTACACGTGTCGTGTACACATGCATACCTACATACATTGTACATACATATCTACATCGGTACAGCTCTTTGTACATACATATGTAAACATTTTATGCTTAGGCAGCACAATCATCAAGCTCGTTGTTGATCGAAAAAAGCTTACTTTTGAGCTATGCATGTGTGTACATATGTATGTTCTCCATGATTACTTTTCTCCTATCTTTCGTTTCTAGGCCAAACCTCGCCATGGGGCGTTCTTCTTGTTTATCTTTGTGAAGTGTGGTGAGGTGGGAGAGAGAAAATGATAAATTAAAAGAGTTTCAGGAGGCAACCATCCTCTTCAAGGCTTAGAACGAGTGCGAGAGGAGCTGCCGCTGACATTTTCCTTCCCGTTTTGGAAAGGACGTTGTAAGGACAAGAAAAACAAGGCCCTGGAATTGTGCGGGGGCAGATAAAATTATACGCAGCCCAGAAAATGGCGCAGGCCAGCAAATGGCGGGAGATAAAAAACAGCCCCACTATATATGTACATATGTACATGTACATAGTACACTCCAAATTGGGTCAATCGATAAAAGAGGAAACAGTGGAGCAGCGGCAGTGGCAGCAGCACCCAGCAGCAGCAGCGCTGCGGAAGGAATCTAGCACATGCGCCAAATGTTGGGGAGGGGGTGTGGAATGGGCATTGGACTGGCGTCTGGGGGTTGGTGTGGCCCCCAAGGAGCTCTTTCGGTTTTACCATCGTCAGAGTCAGCACACATATGTATATTTATGTACGCATATACTTATTCCGTTGCATGGAGTCAGAAATTACATCACACGAAAGAACCACCCGCACTCGCTCCCCTGACTTTTAATATTTTATAGGGCAGCTGTCACTGTGCTCCACATTCCACATACTCCATTCTACATCCCCACCACATTTAAAGCCACAGTTTTAGGGGAGACATTAGTACTGAATTTTTTATTTATTAAATTTAGGCTAGTAATTCGAAAAATTCTTAACCAAAGAATGTGGAGGGGTGTAGAAGAATTTCTCCAATTTGATCGTATATAATCTATATCTCTGATTGATGTCGATTGTTTGTTGGTAATCTTGCCGTTTGCCGCCAAACACTTTAAGCTGAAGTGTTGTAAGATCGGAAACCTTACAGCACTATAAACCACCACTAGTATGTAGAATGTAGTACGGCACCAGAAATGTAGAATGTAAAAATACCGCAATAGCCAACGCCACTGTGCGTAAAATAGCTTGCTACATTGTAACTACACACTTTGCTACATAGAGATGTAGGAAATCCATTAGACTTTCCTCCGCCGACCGAGTGGCAGCGATGCAAGTTGTACATTTAATTTGACATTACATTACATTCTACATGTGTAGAATACATGTAAAATTTTAAAATTGTACATTTAATTTGTGTAAAATACATGTAAAATTTGAAAATTAGTTAGTTTTTATGGTGTACGTTTTTTTTGCAGTATCTTTGTTCTGTTTTTCAAGTAAAATTTTTGTAATTTTCATATGGTATTTTTTCAACATTTAATAGGGAAAAACAAATAAGCTTTAATTAAATGCTCAATTAAAAGCTCTTCTTAAATTTTTACCAGTTAAAGATTTAATTAATGCCAGCTAAATTTAAAAAAAAATCAAAACAATTTTAAAATGTAATTTTTACTGTAAAACTGTGGAAAAAAAGATTTGTTTAAGAAAAAAAAAAGAAAGTCCGTGCACGCTTCGAGGCTATATATATAAATATAATCAACATTTCTAAACAGTTTATAACTCAAAAACATTTTCACTTTTCCTCAAACAGCTGGTGAAACTCGGAAGGTGTCTTAAAGTAGTCGATCAGCAGCATGGACGAGCGGTTGCCCAACCTGTACATGATGTGGCTCCAAGGATTCAGTACGTTCCTGTATTCAGCAATTTGTCCCCTATCGAAAAAATGCTTCACAGTTCCCAGCGGAAGCTGCGATCCATACACAGCCACATATCTGAAAGGCATAGGTTAGGATATAGCTAGGGAGCCAAGGATTCCGCTTTCAAACTTACTTATCGGCACTCTTATAAATCCTGAGGGGATATTTGGCCACAAATGTGCGAATCGCCAGATTGATTAGCACAAATCCTGCCAAGAAGTAATACAAATCGGATTCATGAGACACCAGCATGGAAATGTTCATCTTTTGGGTGATGCCCTCCAAATTCATGTTCGTGCTAAAATGATAGGCAGCCGCCAGGCCAAGCATCGATACCGTCGCCGTGGACACGTTCTTTGTCCAGCTCACATAACTCTCTATGGGGGCACGGTAAATCAATCTATACGTATCCGGCAGCTGGTCATTCAGCAGAAGTTTTCTTTCCACATCAGGGGCCGGTGCCGTAGTCCGCCACTTGCATCGCAGGGAACTTGTTCTGAATTAAAATACAGTGTTCAGCTAAATCATGAGAGATGAATCGCTTCAAATACTTACTGGAGGCTTCTGTGGAGCGCGGCAGCTGTGCTGGGCCTTGAAATTAACAATTTACAGCTTCGTAATATTGCGGCACTCATTTTTACGCTTAAACAGCTGTTGAGCGTTGTTATCGGCCAGGTTATCGGAAGTGCTGCCATTTTAGTTTTTTTTCAGGCTAAATACTAGCGGTTTTTTAAGTGGAAGTGCTTATTAAAATTTGATTGCATGGAATATTATTTATTTTCAATATTTAATATGTTTGTAATTGAAACTTGTCCTAATTTAAAGCTCAATTATTTTCGATTTTATCCATTTTTTGTTTATTTTCAAATCTAGCTTTTATTGACTCTGAAATTCTCTCAGTACTGGGTATCCGAGTTTAAACTCAACCAGATGGAGGCAGGCTGACAACTCTGAAATGCAGCTGAGCAAGAATATCAAAAATCAAACAAAACAAACAAAATTTCTTTAAAAATATAGTTTTTTAAAATAACAAGACAGTATTCATTAACTCATGGATTTGAAACGGTCCCCCACGGGGCCTGAAAGCTGCGCAGATTCCAAGCGTCTTAGGAAGAACAACCTGCTAAAAGGCAACGAGAAGCCGACGGGCGATGGGAACTCGGCAAATCTTGGCAAGAATTTGCAGCCGTGCATACCCGGCAACTGCTCCGCTTCCTTAACGGAACAGCAGACCGCCGTTGGAGCGCAGCCCGGCTCGTGGGTGGCAGAGTCTATCAATTCTGATTTCGACACAGTCTCGCTTTCGGAATTCGATAGGAATTCTCTATACAAAAAAGGTACGTGGACACAGAAAAATCTGTATGAATGCTCCTTTTGCGTGTAATGAACATTTCTTTTTGGGACAGATCTTCACGGGAACAGACTGTCGCGGCGGGAGGCTGCAAAAATACGTCGAGAGGACTCGCTCAAGTGCTTGGAGCTGGAGCGCGAGTTCGTCTCTTGTGAAGATACTCCCTCTGTTGTACTTGTTATTCGCTTCCCTGATCCTGAAATAACTTCGTCCATGGTGACTGGACTATCCCCGGCAATCAGAGATGTAGCGTTGCCCAGCAACATAGAGCCGCGCTACTGCATGGCTCACCTGAAGGCAGGCGCGGACGTGGACGCGACCATCAGCGAGATCAACCAGGTGCGATTTGGCAACGGCTTTCTGGTGGCAGAGCGCAAAGCCTTTTCCGAAGAAGAGGAGGCAAAATTGATCGACCCGTGGTGTCTGTATGTGTCCAACATACCCTTCAACATGACCACATCGGCCATCAAGGGATTTTTTGTGAAGTCCATGAAGGTGGACGTTGGCGTGCTCAGGAAGGAGAAGCGTGCACGATACGCCTTTGTCCGCTATGCTTCAACCGAACTAGCCAGAGAGGCGTTTAGGGACTTGTCGGGAAGTCCCCTACATAACCGCAACCTAACTGTTCGCTTTCGGCGTCTTAAAAGGCGCCCCGGCCAGCTAAAGATGCAGCGCACCATATCGAGCCTAACAATCAACACATTGGCCACTGACGATGACGATGCCGAGGCGGCGGACGTGGATTGCAAGGTTATCACTCCGCCACCTGTTGAGTCAATCACAATCAGCGATAGCGATGGCAACTGCTCTGACTCGAATGGTGCCACCAAGGAGAAGGCCAAACGCAAGATGAAAATGAGTGAGCATGAGCTGGAGATCCAGAAACTGAAGCTCCAAATGGCTGAATATGGTGCCATCATAAAGAACCTGCAAGCCAGACAAGATATTTCAGGTACGTAGAAGTAGATAGAGATACTGTTCCATTACGATTAATGTTTGTCAAATTTGAGCAGATATGACACCCAAACTGGAGCCAAATTCATATCCTGATATAAGGGGTCCTACGCCCGTCCACCTGATACAAGACATCAAAGCGGAGTGTGCCTATTTAGGTCTGCCAGAGGTCATCACAGAACCCGAACCCGCTTATCGCCCAACGACGCTGCCTACGGAAAAGCTTGGCCAGGATACTGATCCTCAAAAGACCAAAAGTATATTGAAGCGGAACTATAGCCTAATATTGTTATGTCATTCCTCCTATACTACTTAGAATCATTTTCTCTTGGACGGCTGCTTTCAGGTCTCGCCAGGCTCGCCAAGAGTCCAAAACCGGCCGAAGACAAGACGACGGCATCAAAGGGTACCCAAGCCTCCCCGGAAAGGGATGCACGACTGGAAGAGCTTTACGCTCAGTTGGAAACCGATATCGATCCCTAAAATGTTTTATTAGGTACGAATATTTCGTCCTCTTGCCAAATTTGTTGTGCTACATTTTTTTTGCAAATGTAAATAACAAGTCAGTTGTATATTATTAGTTTTTGTTTTATTTGTTCTTTTCTTTTTCGTTTTTGTTTGACTCGTTCGTTTCCAGCGTACATTTACTGTATATAAAATAAAATTATTACACATAATAATACGTAAATTAAATAATATTTCGGTTTTAAATATTAAACCCGAACAAATATCGCTTAACGGACTGGCTTAAATATCACTTAGTTAATATTCAAATGTACTCGATGATGATATGGGGTCGTCAAGTCAAGACACCTTTTTGTTCAATCAAAAACTTAAATTAAAACACTGATAGTTTTGCGAAAATTGTTTACACAGCTTTAAGAACTTTCAAGTTCTTAGCATTCCGTGTTCCACGTGCAGGCATTAACAATTATATATCTAAACTAAATTACATTTAACATAGGTCGAATCGTTCATTTCATGTTTTTTGTTTTTCCGTTTGGTTTTCTCTCTAATTCCTGGCATATGGCTCGTTAAATTTAATATCGCAATTTGTCATTACCAAAAACAGTAGTAGAAGAGTACAATAAGAATTTCTGCTATGACATGACTCCTGATTGGTTTTGGTTTTGTCGTTTAGAATGCGGAATGTTATCAACTATTTTATTATATTTAAGGCTGATTTTATTTACACAACAACAAAGATATTTGATAAGGCACCTGTTTCACATGCTGATCGCCCAATTTTTGGTTGGAATTATTTTGATATCCACTCATTGTATTCGATATGATATGATGTTATGCATTTGAATTTCAAGCAAATTTCGGTGTCCAACGTGCGGTAAAATTTTAGAAATTTTACTTGAGTTGTTTCGGCTGTTCAGTTTAGTTTAGTTTAGTTCAGTTTTGTTTTCTGGAAAATGCTCTGCCTGGCTCTTTTAGCTAACAATCAGTTTGGAGATGAAGCACAACAGGATGGTGGAGATCACAGTGTTGGCTGCCGAGCTGCCTGTCAGCTGCGAAACGGAAATGGCTCCAGAACCCGTTCGCTCGGCCACTTCCGGTTCGATGGGCTCGTCGTTGCTCTGGTGATCGCCAACTGCTATGTAAAACGGGGTAGTTACAAAAATTCAAGTTAGTTAAGTGCATAAATTAGGCTAAATTGTAAACGTTCTTAGGTGCGTAGTGGACTTACATCTAAGCTAAAGATATTTTTGGATTTGGTGTTTTTTTTGCTTTCCTTTTTTTCTGAGAAGTTTGTGCAATTTTTGTAATACTTGAAAGTAGAAGCTCAACTCAGGAAAACGGAGTAGGATGTAGGATAAATGTAACTTAAGTAAACTTAATGGGGGGAGGGGGGAGAAATAAATAATAATTGATACAACATACTCTTCACTCTGTGCGCAAACGTATTTGAGTTCGTTTCTTTTATTTGGTTTGGTTTGGCGTTTCGGCAGCGGCGCAGGTCTTGGGCGTGGCATGTTTGATATGTTTATTTATTTTTTTGTTTTGTTTGTTCGGTTTTATTCAGACAGAGATCACTCAAGCGATGGATATACAAATGGCGTACAGTACTACAGTACAGCTGAATGCTGGGACAGGCTACACATTGACGATGGACAGAGCACGAGGAGGATGATCCTCTAGAAGAACCTGTTCGTTAGGCTCCACATCCAGCCGGGCAGTACACCCTGAGGCGTAACTTGCGGCACTACACATAATAGGAACCGCAAGGAATTTAAAAATGTATTTTGTTTTTTTTTTTGGGTGTGGTTGTTCCCAAAAAAAGAATGAAATGAAAATTGTAAAGAGCAGCATAAATAAACAATTCAGCAAAAAATACATATATACAATCATAATTGAAGCGTTTGCCTTGTGGGCGTGGCATGTGTGTGGGAGGAAGGGAGGTGCTCATACAACTACGTAACAGTTTTTGACGATAAGCAATCAAACAATCGATCAACGGCAGATGTCTACGCATGAAATGTACATTTAAGAAAGGAGGACAGTAAAAGGAAGAATAATTAGAATGAGCAGCAGCATGGCGACTACACTACTACACACACACACAAAACACACAAAAGTTAGGGAAACAGAAGGAGAGTCAGAGAGAGGAGCAAGAAGCAGATTAGCAGAGGAAAAAAAGTCGTTGGGAAGGAAGAGGGCGGCACTTTGTAATTCTTCTGGGCTGATGTGCCTGATGTGTGGGAGTATAACTGTCTGTCTGTGTGTGTGTGTGTGTGGTTCGGAGTTGGAGTTCGGTTCGTTATTGGTTCGTTAAGTTGTTGCTTTGTTCTGTTGCTGTTTTATATCGGTTTATATCTTGTGTGCTGTTGTTGTGGTTAATGGTTCTTGTTTTTATATCCGCGTCTCTTAAAGCCTGCAAGAAATATACATTGATGTACATATGTACAGACAAACATGTGACAATGACAAATACGAGTTCATTCCGATAATTTCGGCTTCTTTTTTTTTTGGTTTCGAATGCAAATTCAACGGTTATGGGCCGGGGCAGGCACGTGCATGCAGTGTTAATCGTGTGTAGTGTAGTAATACAAATAAAAGCCGTTCGCTTTTTGTGGGTCATAACGGTGATTGTGTGTGGACCACATTTGCCGTGGCTCGCTTGTGTCAAGTCTCATGCAGGTGTAAATCTTTTGTTTGCTCTAGATTAGTTTAGTACTGGGGATATTCATGCAATTAGTGTGGGGAAGGGGACTCGTAGCGGTGTGTAAGTAAGTGTTTTTGATCACAGGTGGGGGTGGGTGGGTACGAGTGTGGGGGGGGTTTTTGGGTGGTTGGGTCAACCAAGCCTTAGCCATTTTGAATTTTGTGCCGGTGGAGGGGGTGCCAAAACAGTTACCACTTTTTTTTTGTCGCTCAAACTCATTTCGTTTTACGCAAAAAGTGTGTTGAAAAAATACCGTAAACTACAGGATAAAGTAAAGATTTTAGTCGGGGACAGAGTGGAAAAATAATATTAATATTACCATAACTAGATAAAATACTTAGTGCTATAGAACTACGCTTAGGCCATAGATCGGGGAGGTGTTTTGGTTTGGTTTGGTTGGGTTGGGTTGGAGGTGGACTGGGCCCCATTGTGGTGTTTAACAAATAGTGTTGTAAAAGTGTTTGAGTGTTAGGAGTGTTAGTAACCGTGGTGGCTATCTATAGCTACATCTATGGATTAATCAAGTTAGTTATACTAGTATGGTGCACATGCTAGGATCGTGGGCGAGGCGTTGAATGTTGCGACTTATAAGCTAGGGATGATGGTTTTTTTGTTTTTTGGTTTTTTTTGGTGGCTTTGATCTGTGGATCCCGGTTAGTGAGACCGACTGACCAGTAGTTTGTTGTAGCTGTAGCTGTTTTTTCTTTTCATTAAATATTTTGAATAATTTCTGAAGGTTTTTTTGAACTGTAAGCAAGATATTGGATTATTTCCCCGGCTATGTCATTAATAGTTGTTGTTCCTTAGACTTAAAACTTTATTTGTACATGGTATGCTTATTGAGTCGGTTAGTGTTGCTTAAATTCAAATCCAAATACCCAAAGACGACAGACAAACGTTGGTTAGTTGTTGTTAATGGAAAAGCAACATTAAACTCAAAATTAATAAAATAGTTTTCGGTGTTAGTTTTAGAAAATAAAATAATAATAATAAAAAACGAATACCAAATCGAAAAAAATTGAAAAATGTTTAAATACAAAATAATGAGAGTTAAAGTTAATGTTAGTTCGAGTTGGTTAGAGTTCAAAGGAAAGTGTTGTTGTGGCCTAAGCTGAACTTAGCTTGAGAACACAGAGACAAAACTAAAGTAAAACACCACAAAACATAAGAGAAAAATATAAATAATTGTACAAGAATATACATATTTACGGAATATATATATAGACTGGTAGACAGAGAGAGAGAGAGAGAGAGAGAGAGAGAGAGAGAGAGAGACATAGGACATACACAGTTTAACAATTAATTTTGTTTTTTTTTTTTCAATAAGAATTAAAATGTATTTCTTCCATAGGCAACAAAGACAAACACAAATTCGACTTGAGTAATAGAATTTCACTACATACATAGATACTAAAAACTTAATTAAACATACCATATAGATAGGATCTATAAACGTAATTGGATCATTATTTATATAATTAATTTCTTGACTCCTTCTTAATTGCTTTTCTCGCTAAGTAACAACTCACACAAGATTGCTATGAGATCTTTTTGACTTTACAGAGTTTCAATCTCGATTTCTCTATCGATTTTTTTTTGGGCTCAAACAAAACTACCGCCGCGTCGGTCCCACTCACCTGCGTCCAATTCAAAATCACTATTACCATCATCGGCATGCGATACCATCGAGTGCTGCTCGTACTCAGAGTCCGCACCATCGACAATATTACCTGTGGACGAGGGCGTATTCTTGCAGCCGAACCACCAGTGTGCCGTGGGTCTGGGGAAGGCGGGTGTGGCAGTGTCCACCTGCGTACGTAAGGGAAGGGAATCATGAGCATCATGGCATCCACCAATGGGACAGTGTGAGGCTTACCGCAAAACGTGCATCGTGGAATCGAAAGTACTTGTCGCCCTTGAAGAAGTACGTATAGCCGTTGGTGTACTTGAGCGCCGCGTCCAGATTGTTGGGCACACCCTCCCAGTTGGAGATGGGCTTGGGGTAGCTGGCCTTGACGGGCGGTCGCTTGGCGGGATCGAAGCGCCAGAACTTGCTGCCCTTGAAGAAGTAGATCTTGCCGTTGCCTCCCCAGACCATGGCCGCGTCCAGATGATCGGGTATCCCGGTGAATCCCTCGCTGATCTCCTTGGGGTAAACGCCATCCATCTGTCGTCCCTGGTAGCGCCAGTACTGGGTGCCCTTGAAGAAGTACGTCTTTCCGTTCTTGTACGTGAAGGCGGCATCGATGTTGCCCGGCAGTCCCTGGCCATCCCTTGGATATCAGCTGGGGATAGCCCTCCTCCACGGAGTCCGTCGTCAGCTTGTAGAACTTGTCGCCCTTGAAGGCGTACGTCTCGCCCTGGGCCGAGTTGAAGAGCGTATCCATCTTGGAGTCC